GTGCTTTACTATCCATCTCGTGAGAGTTTTTCCTAATATCCAACCTCAACCTCCCTTGCTGCAGCTTGAGCTCGTTGTTCCTTGTCCTGTCATCTGAGAACAGTGTTCTAGCTCCATACTAACTCCACGCTTAGCTACTCTGGAGCTAGTAGCCACAGGGCCTCACAACACAACTGAAACCTTTTACTTACACAGTTGCAGCTTATTCTTCCACACTGGACTCAGTACAGGATTTCAGACAATAGCCCAGTCTGGAGGTAACAAATGCAGCTTTACCAGGTCTGTTATTTAAATAGATGAACATCTCATCCCACCGTTGTTTCCCTAATTTCTTCTCTCCTTCATATTTTATTCTTCATGCCCTTTTATTTAAAACAAATCAATCCTATGGGCATGTGTTGGAAGCCAGGAAAGGAGGTTCAGTCTGTGATCTCGAACTTTCTACTCTGCTCGCAGTTGCCATGCACTTGTCCCAAGTTGTGAGCTACAGTGGCTGTCACAATACTGTTGTTTGGCATCATAAGTCTGTAAAGAAAGTGCTCACTGTCAGCTTTTAAGTTCGCTCACAACAACATTGAAACAAAACAAAAAAATTGAATTCCTGATCAAATGGCCTCTCTGCAGCATTTTTTTTTTTTCCAGCCAGGGCTCTGTGAGATGTTTGTAAGGGTGTCACAGGTTGCCATGCAATATTAGCATGGTTAGGTGTGCAAACACCCATGCGTGGCTTCAGAGGTAAACCCAGAGATTTTAAATATTAGTCCATAGTGTTAAAAGCGTTCTGCCCTACTGGGGTCTTTCTGACTTCTTTGCAATGGAAGAATTGCCCTAGTACAGTGGTTTTCAACCTGTACTTCAAGGACCCCTGGGTGTAAGGGGTCCGTAAAAGATGACTATGATTAATCAGAAGGGTGTAGATACCCACACTTACCATTCAGAGAAGTCTTCACCTCCATTTGAAATGTTTTAGGTGTCTGCAAATGACAAAAGATTGAACACTGCTGCTTTAGTGTTTCAATGTAGTCAAAAACTGAGTGAAAGCTAAGAGCTGGCATTTTCGAAGGGGTGCCTTGAGTCTATTGAGTGGAGCCTTGCGTTTTTAAAAAGGTTGAGGACCACCGCACTGTAGGCTGACCACTGTGTAAAAAAAAAACAAAAAAAAACCCAAAAAACTGCTAGCTGACTTTTTTCAGTGCAGGCAATAAAGAAAAGTACAATGAGAAATGTGTATTTGGGCTTTTAGTCAGAAGTCATTGTTGAAGATGGCAGCTGAGATTCTATGTACAATGCAGGTAAGCAACAAAATAAGTACATTCTGGTTAAATATATGGTTTCTCATAAATATGTACTATATAACATGAGATACAGTAGAGGGGCTGTTTCCAGAATAATGGCCAGAGATGGAATATGCAAAGAAATTTACTGAACATTCTTAACATTGCTTTTGTGTATTTTCATGTACTGAATTAAGTCTTAACAACTAGCTCTGGGATGATGATAAGAACACTGCTAGTTACAGTAATGATTCGACAAGGTCTTCTGTCGACCGAAGAGAGCCACTTGCCATTTAGCAATGGCAGGAAGAAGTCTGGGGCTTGCATTGCATTTGACATGTCCGTGGGGTGTTAACATCTCTCGTCAGTCTCCTAAAGACTTCTGCGCACCACAAAAGTTAATGAGGTAATTATGCTACCTCCTGAAGGGTAAAATGACCTCGTATTGGAGCTCCATATCACATCCAGGCAGAGATGGCACACCCCTCCTCTGCTGCAGCCAAGTTATTCAGATGGAAGACCAACCTTATTCATGATTAAGACATCCTGTGTATGTAAAACACTGATCCCACAGCAGAAGGTTATAAACTAATTTTGTAGACCCTCTCTCTTGCTTGTCATAGTGGGACGTACAAGAAACTTGTGTTTCTGCGTTGCTGCTATGCCTCTCAGCTGAGAATCGGGGTGCCCGGATGCATGTTCATATTACCAAAGGTCAGCTTCCAGCTGTTTCGTTAGGATGGGTTTCGTGCGCTTGCATTTCTGTACAGGTGACTTATGATCCATCATGTTCTGACTTTAAGGAATTTGGGTAGCTTATAAAGATGAATGCCTTCAGCACCCATACTGGTAACTGTTTTATAGATATGATTTGGGAGGTCAAAAAGCAATACCCTCTTCCCTTGATGACAATAGGACCCTGAAGTCCAAGTTGTGGGCACTTCTGAGTTTAGCCTTGACTGGCCGGGCAGTAGTTAGTGTCACGCGGAGCACTTCCCAGATGTGTGCAAGTGGAGCCAGTCTTTCTCAGCCTTGTGCTCCCTCACCCAGCACCATGGAGGCAGCCAGCTCTCTGCTGAGCCAGACGTTCTCTATTTACAGAATGCAGAGAACTGCAAAACCTTTGAAATAAACTCACTTTGGCAGCAAAACAGTGGAAGGAAGTGAAAAGATTTATGAAAACCAGCATGCCTGCAAGTTTATTCCAGCGGCCAGGCCATGTGAAGCACAAAGTTCAAAGTGGAGGTGACTCAGCCTTAGGGTGTAGTAGAGGGAAAAGGCTTCTAACCCCCTCTAATCCCTGCAGCATTGAATGACCTTGGTCAGGAATCCTGATAGTAGAAATATTTCCAAACAAAGCAAGATAGTTGGTTTTTTATAACTTTGGACCATACCTTGTCATGCACCCACAGATGCATCACGAGCAGGTC